GATTGTGATCGTCTAACCTTACTATCTCTCACTGTTATAGGTGCGAGGATCCCCAGTATAAAGATGTTTACATCTCATAACCTCTGAGTGTGAGACACCACGACTCCTCACAAACCTTTACGTTGCTCCACTGACCGTGTCGCTTCCCATCCTTCTGTCAGTGTTGCTCTCTGCTCGTCTGAAACGACCCGATGACCTGGTCGCCAGCTCTCGTGGGCCAGGTCACGTTTCAAGGCTGGTGTTGGCTGACTTTAACCCTTCAAAGCACTCGTGACCTTAGGGTTGTCCCTGTGGATTAACTTTGGCACCTTTGTTCGACCTTGGTTTTCTTACTAATCTACATGGAACTTTTTTTTAGAAAAATCATTAACATCAATAACTACTCTGTGACATAGTCCTAACTTTCAACATTCTAGCCTACTTACAAGTTCGCCTATTTTTCTCCGATTCTGACATTCCAGTCGATAAAGACGTCAGGTAGTATCCTTAGTCACCTAATTTAATAATCATCTCTGTCCCTGTGTACCATGAAGTCAGTCCATCGAAGATCAATGTTAATGTCAACTATGTAAACCAAAAATGTCACTTGTGGAGATTTGACGCACAAACGGATCACGGGCGACACGGAATGCTCATATGCCCTGCTGTGCTCCCTGTGTAGTGTCAGGCTCCCTGTCGTCCTCCCCAGCATGGCTTCCTGTAGCCCAGGATGCGCCCTGGTGCTTACGTGTTGACCCAACCATGTCCTTGTCCCCTTTCCAGATGTCTGAGGACTTGACTCGCATTCCAGACCGCCTTGTGGCTGAGTGTCCCGGCCCCCACCCCCCCACACAAGCCAAAGGTCTCGGCCCAGCTGGACTAGGAGCTGAGCACTGAATTTTGATCCATTTAAGAAATTATCAGCAGTCTAGAATAAGGTATATCTTGCAAGCAAGAGAAACGAAGAAAAAATAAAAGCTTCATCAAGTGATATACCACACATAGCACTACATGTAAAGATTGTATAGCCCCGTATGGATTACAATTTACAAAATCCATATTCCTTTTTACTGTGATTATTTAGTCATTAGTTTAATTTAAGTGTTAACTTGTCCAAGCGACGAGCCGGATGTCTGTTTCTTAAGAGAAGTTATATTTCCTTTCATTCTCCTGCCGATCTCGGGTGTTTTTTCTCAGAAGACCAATATCCGCGCGTTGCATCCCTATGGCACGCGCTGGGCCTGTTCTTTCCATCGATATTGTAAACATTACGAACTGTCCTTTTGTTCCCCATTGATTTGACCTGATTTTCTTTCATGGATTTATAGGGAGGTATTTGTATTTAATCTATATTTATTTTAATGTATTATATTTTTATATCAAATCATTACATGTGTAGGAAGTGTAACCTTGTGAGGTAGAGAGAGAGAGAGAGAGATAAATATGAATACGAGAAGAGTGAACGTGCGAAGTTGTACCAGGAGAGGCGGTAATGGCCTCTCGCTAGTCACTGTGGTACAATATTTATAATTCCTTATTGTATACCGTTTAGTGTCATTTATTATTGGAATAAAAGGTTTGTTACAATGAATGAATTTTTAATACACAATTATTCTTCAATACCTGTGAAAAAAAAAGTTTTAAGCCTTCCATACATAATTATCACGTGTAAAACCAGGACCGCATATATCTGTGCTCTACATTCTGACAACTCAGATAAATTATACATTCTGCATATATGACCTATGTATACTCCGCATTAATGTGCCAAGGATCCTATAACAGAAATATATGTACGTCAGTTGGCCTTATCGCTCCTGCAGTAAGAGCCACCTGGCGATTGACATTCTAAAACGTGATCATTCTTGCAACAATAAACAATCATGACAACGTACCCTTGATCAATCACAAACTAATTTCACCCATGTGCCTCGAGCGCTTTGTTAGTCATTTTTTTTCGTTTTCTTTCCTCTTTTGTGAGATGATGCAATTAAGTAGTTGCATATTGACGAGATGCAACTGGATATACGATATCATGTGTGACAAAAACATTCTGGTATTCCTGATCACTTCATCTTTTAGCAAATGCATGGCTTCAGTATACGGGACATTCACAGTATATATAAGTTGCAATAAAAATATTTTTGTTTGTAAAGCGAATAAGTTTTAAAAGTAATCATGACAGATTCTACGCAACTGAACGTTACGACGTTACATCTGGCGTCATTACATAATGCCCTTTGCTATAAAAAAAAAAAAAAATCACAGAATCGCCTAAACAGAGAGAGTGTATATAAGAGATTGTTTATATATGACTGTTTATGTTTGTTTCTGTGACGTCAGTGACTACGTCAGAGTGACATTAATGACGTCACTAGCCAGTTGGCCAATTTGGTACAATATTTTTTTTGGGAAAACATTCTATATATTTTTCCATTATAGGATTTTTGGTGTACACACGTATACACTCACACCCATACTCACACACACACACACACACACACACACACACACACACACA